GAGAATATTTGTGCATGCATGCATGAATGAAAAGTATTTGTGTTGGGGTATTTGTCCGAGAATCTTTCTTTCTTATTTTCCTCATTTCTTTGACTCTAATTACCCTTTGATCTACATTATAGAGCTGGGGTATTATGTTGACTCTTGCTTGTCGTTTTTTATTTCTTATGAGAAGTATTTGTGCATGCATGAATGAAACTTTCTTTGCTCTATATAATTATTTTCTTGTCTTAGTATCTGCAGTGGGAGGCCTACAAGGCCTGTAAGCCATATCACGCTTTCTAATTATTAAAAATAAGTCCAGCCTGACCTATAAAACAAAGCCTTTAATAGGCCAATAGACCAGATAGGCTGCATATTTTTTTATGTAGGCTTAGACCAAGAAGGCCAAAGCCCGACCTAGCTTGGCCCATTTAGACCCCTAATGGTGAATATTCTCTCTAGCTTCTTCGTTGTTCCGATCCATTTACGGAATACGGGTGAAGTTGAATCGAATTTTGGTCTGAGCACTGTTAGTACTGAAGCAGATTCGCTCACATCCATTTACGAAAGTGCAAGCGATGGAAAGTTTCATTCGTCAACATCCATTTATGGAATTGCTAGCGAAGGGGAGCACGAAACTGCAATTGAAACCGCAAGCGAGGGGACCACGAAACTGCAAGCGAAGGGGAGCATGAAACTGCAAGCGAAAGGGAGCACGAAACTGCAAGCGAAACCGCAAGCGAAGGGGAGCACGAAACTGCAAGCGAAACCGCAAGCGATGGGGAGCCCGAAACTGCAAGCAAAATCGCAAGCGAACGGGGGCACGTAACATCAAGCGAAGGGGAGTAGCTCGATTCATCTACTACTGAAGTAACCACCGACAATGAGCTTGGTCTTGAAAGTCTGGAACTATATTGTCTGATGTTCGCACGCTTGTTCCAAGACAGGCACAATCCAAATCGTCTTGGTGCTGATGACGACGATGTGGATAATTCCACCTTTTAGTATATCATCTTGACATGTATTTTCCGAAGGAATATCGATCCATTTGGTTATCCGTATGATGAATATACAACTGATCTTTGCTACCTTAGGAGGATGATACTCGAATACATGTTCGAGAATATTTGTGCATGCATGCATGAATGAAAAGTCTTTGTGTTGGGGTATTTGTCCGAGAATCTTTCTTTCTTATTTTCCTCATTTCTTTGACTCTAATTACCCTTTGATCTACATTATAGAGCTGGGGTATTATGTTGACTCTTGCTTGTCATTTTTTATTTCTTATAAGAAGTATTTGTGCATGCAAGAATGAAACTTTATTTGCTCTATATAATTATTTTCTTTGCTTAGTATCTGCAGTGGGAGGCCTAAAAGGCCTGTAGGTCATATCAGGCTTTCTAATTTTTAAAAATAGGTCAGGCCTGACCTATAAAACAGAGACTTTAATAGGCCAACAGGCTTAATATTTTTTTATGTAGGCTTAGGCCAGGATGGCCAAAGTCTGGCCTAGCCTGACTCATTTACACCCCTAATGGTGAATATTCTCTCCAGCTTCTTCGTTGTTCCGATCCATTTATGGAATACGGGTGAGGTTGAATCAAACTTTGGTCTGAGCACTGTTAGTACTGAAGCAGATTCGCCCACATCTATTTACGAAAGTGCAAGAGATAGAGAGTTCGATTCGTCAACATCCATTTATGAAACCGCAAGCTAAGGGGAGCACGAAACTACAAGCAAAACTGCAAGCGAAACCGCAAGCGATGGGGAGCCCGAAACTGCAAGCAAAATCGCAAGCGAATGGGGGCACGAAACGTCAAGCGAAGGGGAGCACCTCGATTCATCTACTACTGAAGTAAGCACCGACGATGAGCTTGGTTTTGAAAGTCTGGATCTTTACAGTATTATGTTCGCACGCTTGTTCCAAGACAGGTACAATCTAAATCATCTTGGTGCTACAGATGACGACGATGTGGATGATTACACCCCTTAGTATATCATATTGACAAGTATTTTCTGACGGAATATGGATCCATTAGGTTATCGGTATGATGAATATACAGTTGATCTCATTTCTTTGACTCTAATTACCCTTTGATCTACATTATAGAGCTGGGGTATTATGTTGACTCTTGTTTGTCATTTTTTATTTCTTATGAGAAGTATTTGTGCATGCATGAATGAAACTTTGTTTGCTCTATATAATTATTTTCTTTGCTTAGTATCTGTTGTGGGAGGCCTACAAGGCCTGTAGGCGATATCAGGCTTTCTAATTTTTAAAAATAGGTCAGACCTGATCTATAAAACAAAGCCTTTAATAGGCCAATAGGCTGAAAAAAAATTTACGTAGGCTTAGGCCAGGAAGGCCAAAGCCCGACCTAGCCTGACCCATTTACACCCCTAATGGTGAATATTATCTCCAACTTCTTAATTTTTCCGATCCATTTACGGAATACGGGTGAAGTTGAATCGAATTTTGGTGTGAGCACTGTTAGTACTGAAGCAGATTCGCCATCATCCATTTACGAAAGTGCAAGCGATTGAAAGTTCGATTCGTCAACATCCATTTATGAAACCGCTAGCGAAGGGGAGCACGAAACTGCAAGCGAAACCGCAAGCGAAGGGGAGCATAAAACTGCAAGCGAAATCGCAAGCGAATAGGGGCATGAAACTGCAAGCGAAGGGGAGCAACTCGATTCATCTACTACTGAAGTAACCACCGACGATGAGCTTGGTCTGGATAGTCTGGATCTTTACAGTCTGATGTTCACACGCTTGTTCCAAGATAGGTACAATCCAAATCGTCTTGGTGCTACTGATGACGACGATGTGGATGATTACACCTTTTAGTATATCATCCTGACAGGTATTTTTCGATGGAATATAGATCCATTTGGTTATCCATATGATGAATATACAACTGATCTTTGTTTCCTTAGGAGGATGATACTCGGATACATGTCCGAGAATATTTATGCATGCATGCATAAATGAAAAGTATTTGTGTTGGGGTATTTGTCCAAGAATCTTTCTTACTTATTTTTCTCATTTCTTTGACTCTAATTACCCTTTGATCTACATTATAGAGCTGGGGTATTATGTTAACTCTTGCTTGTCATTTTTTATTTCTTATGAGAAGTATTTGTGCATGCATGAGTGAAACTTTCTTTGCTCTATATAATTATTTTCTTTGCTTAGTATCTGCAGTGGGAGGCCTACAAGGCCTGTAGGCCATATCGGGCTTTCTAATTTTTTAAAATAGGTCAGGCCTAACCTACAAAACAAAGTCTTTAATAGGCCAATAGGCCAGATAAGCTGAATATTTTTTTACGTAGGCGTAGGCCAGGAAGGCCAAAGCCCGACCTAACCTGACCCATTTACACCCCTAACTCCAATGAACTGAAAAGGAAGGGAGGGAGAGAAAAACAAATTTTTCCAATTGTCACACTTGGTGGAAGGAATACCCTGAGCCTGATCCACTAAAAAAATTTCCTTAAATTGTTCCCCGGAACTCAACTCCGAGCTATCAGAATTTCCCAAGTTTCGCTTTCTGGCTATGGAGTTCTGCCATGTCAGTTAAGCCATCAGGAGTGGACCGTCCACTGGCTTGCAAGCGAGGCGGACCAGGTAAGTGGATAGGTAACACTCTTACCTCGGAGTTCCACTTACACAACTCCGAGCTAGGGAGGCTTATTTTTCAAGATGGCTTCTCAAATTAGGGCTCTACTTTAGAACTAGTGCCCGAGCGCTTGGCAAGGAAGGAGGTTGCTCTTGTTCATGGGCAGAATGCATTCGCCCACCAACCTGCATCATCATCATGGGTTTGCCCCCACGATCTCCCTGTCACCACTACACCACCATAATCACCACTTGCGGATTTCATGCTCTAGGATCACCTTACACACTCATCAAGTGCCACAAAGCCTTTATAAAAGGCTGATACAGTGTCAAGGTAACATGCTTACAGCAGAGCATTCAGGGCCTTCAACTATCTACAATATTCACACGTCCCCACATGTACACACACTCATCATTGATTATTTCCATCGAACTGTTGGCTGAAAAAACTACTGGTACACCATGAATACCACTGTTACACCATTGTCAAACATCTCTACCATTTATCCGTAAATAGAAGCATGAATCCATCCTTATTGGACATCACATGTACAACACTAATGAACAATAACTAATTATTTCTACTTTACAAAAGTTATAGGATTACTATTATAAAAAAATAATTAGAGGATCAAACGACCCTGCATGTCTTAATGATTTAATTAAAATTTCAAATATGTCCTTATTACTTAAAATGGTATACTTCTTAAAAAAACATATATTAATAGACATCTATAATTTAACATTTTATCTATTAAATCCCTATTAATTGTAGAATTTTACAAATAAATTCGTAAAACCTATAACAGTAAGACAAAATGACATACGACTGTAATCATTCGTTAAAAGAGTCTAAACAACTATCTTCTAATAAGAACTTCCTTAAAAAAAATTGGAAGTATAGGAAAATCATTAAAAAAAATAAATTATGAGGATATAATTAAATACAGTAAAATTATGTAGACCTAATTTAACCAAAATTACATTATACATATCTGCATTAATAAATGGTCATAAAATACTAATCAACTTCTAAGTAAATAAATTTTATAAATAATAATTTGCATCACAATTTTTAATTTAACAAATAACATTTATTAGACAACTTTTCGTGTAAAAGAGATAATATTAAACTGCTTAAAATCTTAACAACCTTGAAATCTTTTTGGAATGATACACTGATCCTACAACTAGGAAAGTTCTGAATGAATATTCTATTGGCGAAAGAAAAACTGAAAATTAGATAGTAAAAGAAGACGACGACGACGACAACTGGCTGATTTATCATACTAAAAGACTAAAAACGTGCAAAGCTGGATGCCATATTGTATATAAAAATCGGTTTTACGTTTAACATTACTTTTTCAACGTTCTCTCTTGCAAAAACGTAATGACTGTAAATGACTTCATAAATAGTATTTACTAATACAAGCGTTAAACAACTATAAAATATCAATATCATCAACTTCTAACCTACAAGCCATTCTAGTTCGCATATTCCCTTACTCATTTCCCTAAAAACGCATAATTTTTCTCTAGGTATACAGGTACAGTAGTTAATCAATCACTGGATCACGACTTAAAACTGAAGAGCATCTTACCTTTCGATTTATTATTTTTTATGATAAAGTGTTAAAAGTAAACATGATATAAAAAATTGGGTCAAAGACTTCTCATGTTACATGGAAAAAATTTCTTTTCCTGCACATACACACAACAAACATGTGGATCCAACTAAAGTTTTTTTCTCTTCTCTTTTCAATCGGACCCTCATGTTTATTATATGTGTAGGAGAAGATATTCTTCTCGCACGACATAAGTCTTTAACCCTAAAAAATTTTAACCATTAGATAAAAAACGGTAAGAGGTGCAGTCTGATCCGGATCCATCAACCTCTTGACGCTGAAGATGCAAATGATAAACCTCACAGCCCCCTCCTCCCTCCCCAAAGAAAAACTCGGAGGAACCAAGAAAGAACCTCAATGACTGAATAGGTGCAAACTCAAAGCTAGTAGTCCTGGTGCTCCAACATGAATCAAAATAGTTCCACCTAATTAAAGCATGACTGCACCACAGGAAGTAACAAAATGTTTAGTATAAACAAGATTAATTCATCCCAGAAAACCCCAACAAAAAAAAAAAAAAACAACCAACCCAACATACACACAAGACTTAAACGCAAAATTGTGATCTTATAATTGTAACAGAAACGAATCTTGCATACAAACCACAATACTATACATATCTGACCACAGTTGAGCTATACAATATAGAAATTTACTTGCTACAAGGTACCAATGGTCCCTAATCAGGTAAAAGGCAGGCATTGGATCATTTACCTTACCAATTCACTTCAAGGCATGGGAGGTTTCAGTCCAATGTAATAAAAATTAAAAGAACTCCTTTGCAGTACATTTCTCAGGTTTGAGTCAGCACACTTGCGATTGTCTTCCTAGCTTCTTTACATAACATATCAGGATCATTTCCATCTATAGGTTTATGTATAACAACTTTCACAGAACCTAAGTTCACTATACCCTCCCTTCCTGCTGGCATGATTTGGCCAGTTCCAATAAGGGTAATTGGTACCACTGGTGCATTTGTCTTTGCAGCAACACTGAAAGCACCCCTCTGCACATCCCCAACAAAAGATAACATATTCACAGTTAGTTCAATGACATGAAATCTCAGACAGCATATAGATATTCTTAAAAAAAAAAGCAGCAGAAAACATAAGAGTTCAAAGAATTGATCTTAATGTGGATATGCTACTACATTATTCTTATCACACAACATATGCATTTAACCATCATATAAGCTGCAGGCCAGGTTCTATATTTTAGTCCCAGCTTAGGAGAGCCGAAGATATTGAAACTTGCCAGAAAACTAAGAGTCCTGATACCCCCTTCAATCATCTCTATGTGCTGGGTCCAAGAGAGAAAGGAGCCAGAGGAATAGCTGCTATATAATCATTACGTCTCTCTACAAAACTTCATCAGGTGATCTAATGCCAATGTGTCACCTTGGTCATGCTTCCTATCTAGGTGAGCATCCCAGTCCCAAGCATGCCATTCCCATGTGGAGACAGGAAGGAAAAACAGAGACCTCAAGCGAGTCAAGCCCAAAGTAAGTAAAATATAAATTTAGATTTAGAGTTCAGCTGTTGCTTCATTTTGTAATGTTATTATTATTCTTACAGTTTTATGGGTCTTGTTGAGTTCGTAATGTTATTAGGTTGTGCTTGTACTAGTTTAACTACACTAGTTAAATATAGTATAAAACACAATTCATGCCTTGTCAACAATGCCACATGTCAAATTCCTGTGAGTCAATCTCCCTACTAAAATTCAGTCCATGTCATTCTGTCAAATTCCTGTGTCTCATCCTAATTATCATATCCAACCTTAATTTTTTTATTATTGTCAACCCATCATTATGGGGAAACCCTAATACTCCAATTTATATATTTTCCAAGGTAATCATCTTCTACTTTTTTTCTTTTCTTTTTTTGTATTAAATCATCTTCTTTTACCAAAGACAGGTATTATTCCCATTATATTATCCAAACTTTATCATATTAATTTGATAAGTACTTTCTTTGTATTGTGTTATTTGATAATAAAGTTCATGCTGAACCAATAATAACATACAGGAAATACACTAGTTAGCATACAAAAGTACTAGGTTAGTGATCACAACACATCCCATTATCAGTAAAATGTATTATTTCTCTATTTTCCAACTTTTCAATCCTTTTGCTATAATTTCAACACAGTATCAAAGCAACACCAACCTTAGTGACCTAAAGCAGCCACCATTCCATTGCTGAGTTTTCCAAAATATAAAAATCCTTTTGTTTCTCCTTTTCCTGTCTTTGTTCCATGATTCTCTCCTTATAGTTGTGCACCAATTCCAGCCACTAGAATCTTAGTTCTTCCTTGTATCCATGGCTCTCACACCTTTCCAGTCAACAATAGTTGCTGTGACCACTTATCAGGCATGTTTTACCTTACTATGGTGGCTTTTGAATCTAGTTCTCCAACTTCTTGGTCTCCAATAGATGAACTGACCCCACCACTAGACTCAGAGGGCGAGATCAATAAGGACCCAAAGTATTGCCCAAAAAAACTCCCAGCCATGCAGTGCCTTTACCTCCTCAGCCATCCAACATTTCAACCACCCCTTTCAATTGTGCATTATTCCAGCTATCTTTTTGCTGTATTATCTCTCTAATGCAGTGCTCATTTTGTTATCTCTCTAGCAGTCATCTAGAGTTGGATTGGGTTATGTTAGAACTGTTACAGGGTTAGGCATGTATTGAGTGTTCTACAATAGTACTTGACACAGAAGGCTAGATTATTAGTATAAATAGGTGTATTAGGTATTTAAAATAGTGATTACAGCACATCTTTTTTATCAGTAAAATATAATATATCACACTTTTACTACTTTTCCATCCTTTAGCTATTATTTATGAAGAAGTGGCCCCACTTGTGTCCAAGGTTATGTGCTCTTTTTATTTCTCAATAACATATAACTCATCATGATCTACGATTGATTTCTTCTTAAATCATGATTATCTACAAAGATAAATAAGGTTGTGTCCCCCGAGTCAATCTTGACGCTTCCTGTGGTGGACGCATTCGGAACTATAAGGGGGAATAGATTGGAGGATTCTCCTACCACATTGGCAGATGCGATGTGGTGGAAGCAGAACTGTGGGGATGCATGCAGGGCCTGAGGTATGCTTGGAGTCTAAACATTAAGGAGGTTGTCCTGGAGAGTGACTCCTTAGACGCACTGACCTGCATAAAGGAAGGCTGGGAGAGAGCTGGTTTGTCTCACTTGATTAGGTGCATTCGTGAGCTAATGGGGAGGGACCGGAAAGTTTGGCTCTGTTAGATCCCTCGTGAAGAAAATTTTGGTGCTGACTGATGCGCAAAACTGGGCTTCAATTGCCACGACCAAGGGCTTATTGCTCTCAGCGATCCCCCTCCAAGCATGATGCAGAATTTTCCTCCTAGGAAGTCTTTGAATAGGATAGTACTAGCTCCTAGTATGTTGGACCAGTAATATTGTTTGTTGTTTTGTTTGTTCTCTGGGCTTAATGCCCTCCACATATACCAATATATATATATATATATATATATATATATATATATATATATATATATATATATATATATATAGGGTCAGGATCATTTTACACCAGTGTAAGTTACACTCTCAATCTTGACCATTAATCTCACTTATATCTAAGGGCTTTAATTTTTTAATAATGTGAGCCATTGGATACAAGTGGATCAATACTCAAGATTGAGTGTAAGACTTCTAACTCTTACACTGGTGTAAGAATATCCTGCCCCATATATATATTAAGATTACAAGAATTTTTTACACAAACTCACCTTGAAAGCGCCTAGTTTTCCATCTTTACTGCGAGTTCCCTCTGGAAAGAAAAAAACAGAGGCTCCTTTCTTGATAAGATCCATGCATCGTTTAAGACAATCCTACATGTGAAGAAACAAACAGAACCATGATTTGAGAGTTATCTGTATCTTTAAATCCAAAAGGGGGAAAACAACTTCATACAAAACTTCGACATCCTAATCAAGAAGAGCTGGTTAAAATTAACTGCAACAATAACAATGAAGAATACCAGCTGGCTTCGGCTGTCCATGCGTTTTAAAGGAATGGTGCCCAAAAGAAACATTGCCCACCCAATTATTGGAATGAGGAATATCCCAGTCTTGCTTATGAAGTTAAAGCTTCTCCCAAGTGTAAGAAGAGTATATATATCCAGAAAGCTCTGATGATTTGAAACATACACAGCAGGAGTATCTGGGGGCGGCAGATTCTCAAGCCCCTCAAATTTGATTTTGAAAAAAGGCGCCACACTCAGCATAGCCCAGACTTTGGCAACAAAATGATGGAACTTTCTTCGGTGGCGATCAAACAAGAGCACAGATGGATGTCCAACCAGCATCAATACAAAAAGAAACACAGCAGCAAAGGCAGTAACAGCATGAAAACAAGCTCCCCTGACTTTTGATTCCATTTTCAGTTCTGCAATAAACCAAAGGTCAAAACATGATGAAATGGCATTCCAGTTCAAATATAAAACGTGAAACCTGACCAAACAAGACTCTTATACAAACCAGGTAGTGAGTAGCCATCTGTAGACCCAGATGCAGTAATTCCAGATCTTACAACTATATCCCTGGGGAATTCATTTCCAACATGCAATTTATGTGTGTAATGAGATCCACAAAACTCTTCTTTGTAACAAAAAGACAGCAACGACACATTTCTATGCTTCTTGGGAATGCCTAGCACGCTACTTTGAGAAGCTATATAGGAAAAGAAGTTAAAATACATAAGTCTTGGGACTGTAACACATTTAAACGCTTAACACCAAATCAGTTTCAAAGAGGTAGTAAACTTTGATATGAAACACTTACGATTATGGGAAGTCCTCAAAATTGGACGTTTATAAGTGAAGAACTGCAACATGAGTGGGATTCAATCAAATAAAACCAACAGAACATATAATAAATAAAGATGTGAAAAAAATAATAATGATCAAGAATTGCGTACGAGGGTGGAAGAGAGTCCCGCCAAGAATCTCGCTTCTTTGTGACCTACAGAGGAGATTAAAGAAAAAGAAAAAGAAAAAGAAAAAGAAGCAATAGAGTCAAAAAAAAAAACATGTGAAGGAGTTAGAGAGAGAAAGAGAGGAAAGGTGAAACTAACAGAGATGGGGAAGATTGATTGGAGAAGAGGAAGAGAGAGAAGCAACTTCCATGGCACGAATGGATGGAAGAATGAATATTTGGCGGTTAGGGTTTGGGTGTGTGGTTTTTTTCCATATCCGATATCGCAAATTTCAAAGCATCAATCTCATCCTCATCAATCGTCGTTCCTCTCCGCTTTATCCTTTTGTTTCTTTCGCTTTTTGCCATTCACGTTTGCATATTTGTCACTCTCCTAATTCTCAAGTCTCTCTTTCACTCATTGTCCGTTTTTTCTTTTATTAAAAACATATTTTATATTTTTAAATTACCCAAATTACTTTAAGAAATTAAATATATATTAGAAGTGAAATGCTAAAAAACATGTTGGGGGTACGTCAGTTCCTGCATTTGGTGGCTAAGCATGCACCACTGCATAGCTTAATTTCTGATTAACCATCTCAATAAATGTTACTCACTTTATTATTGATGAAGATTTTAGAAGAAGGTATAGAATATCCGTTTTACCTTTACAAGCTTAAGAAAACATTTGTAATCGGTTAGAGAGCCAAGTGAGATTAATGAAAACTTTCGAAGAGAAGTTTGAGTATGAGACCTCTTTATAGAAGAACCTTGTAACTACCATTATTGATAAAGTTTGAGTATAACTCCAGTGAGATTAGGAAAGTTTGAATCCTTTATAATCCTACTATTCACAATGGAAGATTTTCTAGACTAGCTACCCTGCTTTTTACCTTTATGCATTAGAGAAGGTTTTTAATGTTAAATTTGTTGTGTTTTACTCTCTCTTCTTTATGCATTTTTCTTGTTTATGCAATTTGGCTGACCTTGTGGCGTCAACCAACCTTAAAATGTCGAGCTGAGAACCCTGCTCACCGATTTGTGAATCACTTCCGCACAAATTGAGGGACCACATCCCAACGGTGGTATCAGAGCCCGAGTTCAAAGGGTTCGGCAGAAGACAAGACCAACAGAATATCCTATGACGGAGACATGTTCAAGTTGACTACTGATAACTTTACATATTGGAGACCGATGATGGAAGATCATCTGCTCTACAAAGACCTATATGAGCTCATCCTTAATGTCGAGATGCCTGAAGGCAAGAACAAAAAAAAAAGGAAATCATGAATAGAAAGGCCTTGGCCATGATCGAAAGTATATTGACAAAAATATCTTTGAGTAGGTTTCTTATTTCACTAATGCGCAAGGATTATGGATGAAGCTAGAGTTCATAATACAGAAGAAGACTCTCAAGAACAAAGCTCATCTGGTTGCTGACTTGTGAAGCTTGAATACAAGGACTACATGAGCATGATATAACACCTGAACAAGTACAAATGTATTGTAAAACAATTGTCTAAAGTTGAAATGAAGATTGATGGTGAGCTTCAGGCGCTCATACTCCACAGTTCCCTGCCAGAAAGCTGAGATACTCTAGTAGTTACATTGAGCAACTCGGCTCCTGAGGGAAAATTGACAATGGACTCTGTGACTGATAGCCTCCTAATTGAAAAATTCAGGAGAAAAGAGCGCGTCGTATCTAGCATGTCAGACATAAATACTGCTGAGAGCAAAAAAAAGGTCTAACTTCTGGTCATAGAAAAAGTCAGGGTTATGACAAATCCAAAGGCAGATCTAGGCCAAAATATGAACTGACATGCTTCTAATGTGGGAAGCCCGATCATAAAAAGCCTAATTACTAAACTCTGAAGAAAGACAAAAAGAATGACAACGTGAAATCGGATCAGATAGAGTCCAAGAAGAAAGAAGATAAGAGCACCATTGCAATGGCTACCAACACTGTTGTCGAGATCTTTCTTCTAGGAGAGGACAATTTTCTTATTGTTGCTTATGATAAATTGTGCTTGGATTGTTGACTTAAGTGCTTCCTTCCATGTCACTCACTCAACACAAGAGCTTTTTCTCTTCTTATAGAAGCGGTGACTTTGGAGTTATGAAGATGGAAAACCAAGTCACCAACAAGATTGTTGGGGTCGGTGATGTAACCCGGACCACAGACGTCAGGTGCCGGCTTGTGTTGAAGGAAGTAAGGCAAGTGCCAGACATGCATTTGTACCTAATCTTGGTTGAAAAACTCGATGATGTCCGGTTAGTGAATTACTTTAGTAGTGAAAGACAGAAATTAGCCAAGGGAAACTTGGTGATTGCCCGAGGTAAGAAGGAAGGCTCCTTGTAACAGCCCCAAACCCTGTAGCAGGATATTGTCCGCTTTGCCCCGCGCACAAGCATCGTCGAGCTCACGGTTTTACGTTTTGGGTTACCCCCAAAAGGCCTCCTACAAGGAAAGGTATCCACACCCTTATTTAAGGCATGCTTCGTTCCCCTCTCCAACCGATGTGGGACATTACACTCCTCATACGTAATGCAAGGAAAAATAAATGGTGGAGAAGCCAACTCTGCCCGAGATGGACCTAGCATGGAGTTGTGGCACAAGCGCCTCAGTCATATGAGTGAGAAAGGGCTCCAAATTTTGAATAAGAAAGGACATTTGACGAGTTAAAGGGTCAAGTGTTGGAAAGCTGCATGCACTACGTAGCTGAAAAGTAGCTGATGCTCACCGGCAAGTGTACCGATCGCACAAGTAATATAATAGTAAGTAAAGTTCGTCTCCACAGGGATTGTGATCGTATATCAATTAATATTCCTTTCAAGAATGGAAAAGTTCAAAAGGGTTTGTTTGTGACAAATAATGTCGATTTGAGAAAAATTAAAAGTAAAGACTTGTTTTTGTATTTTTATATTGAAGAATAAAAATAAGAATAAGAATGAGTTGATTTGTAAAAATGAGAAAAACATTGTAGCTAGGATACACTCACCATATGATCCCTACTTCTTACCTTGGATTGATTTAAAAATACTTATTTATATAAATACTTAGATAATTATCATCTAGAATTAATTAGTTAAATTCCAATCCCTTGGCAATTTAACCCTTTAATCTCAATTAGAATCCTAATCCCTTAGTAACCCCTCATGAGAATTAAGCAATAAACACGATAATTCAAGCAACTGCAATTAAATATACATCTATTCCTAGCATGCATACTAATTGTTATCTTACCCCCTTTCAAGATGAAAACCCCAATATTCCTATCTAGGGTTCTAACCCTCAAACTATCTTCAACTACTAGATTGATCAATTCCAATAAAGAAGATATAATTACGCACAAGGTAAAGATAAAGACAATTTATATAAATGAGCAATTATAAATCAATCCGTCATAACAAGGGTTCACATAAGGTTTGTGACCCTAACTACAATAAAAAGTAAACTAGCCAAACATAATCATGGCTAAAAATCCAATATTCAACAAAAACATAAACCTAATAAATTAAACGAAGAAGAAGAAAAGAAACTTGATCTTCAGATTCCTCTCGGAGCACCATTGTCGTCTCTCTCAGTAGAATAGGTCTGGATCCCTAATTCTGTTATAAGGATCCTATTTATAAGTCTCTTTTTCTTCTTCCAAAAATACCCCCAGAACAACACAGAGTAATTTTCCTGCAACCCGGCGCCATTTGGTGCCGGTTTGGCGCAAGTTTGCGCCGCGCCTCTGTCAGAATTAAAAAGTTGGAACTACATTCACGTAAAGTGGCGCAAGTTGGCGCCACCTACCTTCAACATTGGCGCCAATTGGCTTCAAAAGTGGCGCCACATTTTCTTCCTTTTGGGCGCTAGATGGCGCCATGCATTTGTGTCATTTTGGCGCCACTTGGCTCCATTTTGGCGCCAAGTGGCGCCATGCTACTGGACCATTTTTCAATTCTTCACGAAACTGGCACCGGTTGGCGCCACAGTGGCGCCAGTTGGCGCAACTTGCAAAACACCGGTTGGCGCGGGTGTGCGCCAGTGTGGTGCCGGTTCGCGCCATGCTGCTGGAATTTGTAGTGTGCTACACCCGTATGGAATTGCGTTAACAGGCTTTTTATAATTTTCACTTCTTTTTCCTGTAAAAACACAACAATAGGTGAGAAATATTATTGAAAAGAAAGAATAAATATAATTAGCAAATATGTATTTAAGTTGCTCTTTTATGACTCAATTCTTATCAATTTTAACACAGAAAACTACACTTTCCAGAGGCACATCAAACCATTCCCAGATTTAAACGTTGTTGTCCCCAGCAATGTACAAGACTCAATCCAGGAAACAATCAATCATTCCAACATAACATCACACAGACAATCAATAGATCACTATGCTAAGCATGACTGAATCAATGCAAAGAACTCCTAACAATGCCTTCTATTCTCATAAAAATGTCAGAATCTAGCTTGAACACCCCTCACCAAGATAAAACATATAACACTCAGCACTCAAGTGTTTGAGGGAGTAACAATCACTCAATCCATCACAACAATAACATTACCATAAGCTTGATCATATTCTCAAAAATTCTTAATGAAGAATCAAACACATGCATCAATTGATTAAAAGAACTTCACAGGTTGTAACTTGGCCGGGTTAATAGGTAGGAATATATGGACAGTAGCTCAAACAACAATGAGATTGAAAAACTGGTATTATTTGACTTTAACACATTCAACTCAATGGTTTTGCTCCACTCAGATTCCCATAGAATTTCAGGAATTAATTCCTTTCAGCCACCTTTTATGCACATTCACCCTTTTTTTTCTTTTTCTTGCTTTTTTTTAAGGGCACAGATGAAATTTACATCCCCTAATTACTTGACCTTGGTGGAGCTTACCTCAATTTCTTTGTTTTATTTTCAACATATCAGTAATTCAATCCCAATCAAGGTAAGTCACATGGATATAGGCTAAGCCATCAATCAGGCCACAAGTCATTTAGCAACGAATAAGTTCAGGCTCAAGGGGGTTAGCAATGGAAAATTTTTCATACAGGTGGTTTATTTTGGCCACTAGCTAACAAGAACAAAATGCATTTATCATATCAACCAATGCATGCATTACAGAGAAACAAATTAAGTTCTAGAATATTACAACAGTGAGGTCTCTCAACAAGAAAAATTCAGTGTTTAAGCTCAAACCTCACAGCTATGGTATCAATATAGACTCAAGAAAATTGAATTCAGACATTATCAGAATTTCACAACATCAGTTCAGGCAAACGAGCAATCATGTAATCCAATTGTATCTATGCAATGTCATGCCAGAAAGTCATACAACATGCTTCCAAGAATTCAGTCAAGCACAT